GCCTAAGGCATGGGCCCTCAAGCGCCCACGGCATGTCCTTTAAGCAACCCCTTTCTCTGCTCTTACATTGCATTTGCAAAGGTGGAACATTTCAGAAAGCCAACTTGTGTCTCTCAATCCCGTGGTCCAACTGAAGGCTTCAGTAACCTTAGTTGCCCTGTTGCTTGTGACAGCTACCTTGTGCATCCTAAGCCGCATCATTTCGACACTGCAGTCTTATTTTAAAGCTGCAACTTCAAAATGAACTTTACCAGGTTATAGCAAAGGTTTTAAAAAAAAAAGTCACTTGGGGCTTTCAAGGCAGGCTTTCATTTTGTGTAACCAGGCCATTAATAGGAGCACTTTTGGGGCCTAGTTTGGGCATTCACGGTGCAAGAGTGCCCCATGAAATGCAGAAATGATGCATAAAGTATTGCCTGGGCAATCTGCTTATAAGATCACAAAGGTCCTTCGTGTCTCACTTCCCCGCAGTTTCACCCCTAAGGCCCTGGCCATTTTCCAGCTTCAGAGTGAAACTTGGTTTATGCTTGATAAGAGTCTTCAATATATTCCAGTTAAAGGAGACACTAAGAACAGTAGAATGATAGGGTGCAGTTCTTGCCAGGGTATTTGAGCACTTCTCTCCAGCATGTCAGGGAGAAGAAGTCTCTCTAGTGTGCTGGATTTCTACATTTAGGGACGTTTTTTACAGATGGCACTGTCCTAACATGCAATCTGCTGGCTGCAGTCTAGATCTTGGTGAGTAGATACTTTCAGCTGTGTGGTTCAGTCCTCTACCTGTGCCCCGGGAGTGTGGCACCTGCAGCATGCCTTGCGGGGGCTCAAGCTGTGGCCATTCTCTGGATGCGGGCTTCACTTTGCCTCCCTGCGCATGGACCAGGCACAGAATGTGGCAGTGGCAGCCACAGACTGAGAGCTGATGCCACAGGAGGATGTGTTTGGTGGGAGCAGCTGAGAGGGAAGGTAGCAGAAACCAGAAGGAGCTGGGACCCACAGCCGGTGCTTGCAAGCAATGGCAGCTCCAACAGGGGAGGGAGCGCCTGCCTCAGACAACAGAAGGAGGGATTTGCTTGTGGTGATGCTCCTCAGGATTTGGTATCTCCAATATTTCTGCAGGCTCCACAGTGCCACAGTCTAAGCCTTTGGCCACTCTTGCTGGTGAGAGAAATATAAAATATAGAGCTTGAGAATCCAGAAAATGCAAACAGACTCATGAAACAGAAAGTGCATGTTGGTCAGATGGTCAGCTCAAAATGTGAGTACTGGTAGCAATTGCTAGATTCCCTACCGAGCCCTATGCCCAGCAATCCCACCCTTCAAGTTTCACAGTCCATTTGTGTCAGAAAAATCTTCCAGTTAAACTTCAAAAGATTAACTAGAACAAGAATCTATGAAGTGATTTTCCTAGATAAAACTCAAGGCTGAACTAGACAATGTGTTAAATCTGGATTGAATTTATTGTGTCAGATTCTTGCATTAAAAGCAGTAGTTTCTGAGACACAACTTATAACAGCAGTACCACAGTAATGTGGCCAGAAATGTGGAATTTATATCCTTCCCCATGTCCAAAGTTAAATAATAGTTTCTCCAAACGCCAAAGAGGCCATGATGAGTAACAATCACCCCTCTTAGGGGATCCTTACATGCCGTGTGGGGAGGACAGATGCATCTTGGCCAGCTCACCCTCCCACCAGTTTCTCCCCTGCAAGACTCTTGGTCAATTTTGTAGTCCAAATAAACCTTGCATTCTGTACATCTCTCCATTCATTATTTCACTTCTTGTGGCAATAATCTTGTTTATCATATAAACCACACCTTGCCAATACAGCCTTCTTTCAAAACTGCAAGTGTTTAGAGGAGCCTTCTCTGATATGGTGGCCTCCAAGTGCTTTGGATTACAGCAGTGCAAGCCAGCATGACCAGCAGCTGGGAATTTTACAATCTGGTGCCCAAAATATCTGAAGGTCCCCAGGGCAGTCAAAGCAGGCTTGCATTAGAAAAGGGAGATGACAATGTACCCCTTGCAAACAACTCCAAATTAAAAACACAAAGAGATGTGAGGCAGAGGAGTGCCTTGATGAGGAACAGGTTGTCTTAAAAACTGCAGTTTGCATGTGCATCCTGAGACCAAGATGGGGCTCTGAGCCTGAGAGAGGGGTTCTGGACTAGATACCCCCCTGTCTAGTCTAGTTCCTGCTTTCAGGGAGCTTTCAATGTACGGCTCTGTTAGGTTCTCCATCCTTGTCCTCCCACTGAGGCTCAGAGGAAGACTTGGGTGATCAGGATCAACCTCTCAAGAGGTCATCATCTCCCATCTTGGGACTTTCCGTGACAGAGGGCATTGCCCTGCTGGGTCAATGAGATCCACCCCAAGGGTAGCCCCGTTGGCCCCATGTTGCAGGAGTCAGAAGCTGCCTAATGAGACAGTGGCCCTTGAAGGGCTCAGACGGCTCCTCAGAATTGGGTGGCACTAACAGAAGAGAGAGGTTGACTAGGTTGCGTAAAGTCTTGGTGCTCTCCTCTAGCTTCCTGAGACAACAGTGTTGCTGTGGGAAAGTATTCCAGTGCGCAGCTCTAGCCAAGGTCCCGACAAGCTCTCCCTTGCCTGATGGGACCCAAACCAATCCACAGGGAAAGCCACAGGCCAGCACCAAGGAAGCCCTGCTCCAACATGCAAGCTGCTGCCCTGAGCAGAGGCCTCGTGGCACAAGTCCTTCTCTCTGCATTTAGCAGTAAAGTTCCCCCGGTTCTTGCTTGCACAGATCCTTCAGGTATGTGAGATCTCTTGAAATTAGTTGCCTTACCCCAGTGTTTCAGCTTACATGTCCCATCATACCCAGCCAGAAGGGCTGATCATTTAAAAAAAACAGTTAATGCATAAAATATGCGCAGATGTTTGTCGCACGAGGTGACTCAGAGATAATGCTGCTTAGTTTTAGGGATAAACCTCATTAAGAGTAGTTCTCAGAGACCAAACAGAGGAAGAGGGGAATTCTTTTGTACTGATGTTGTCAGCAACATATGAAGAAGGTAGATATTCTTTAGCAGATGCCTTTCAGTCTTGTGGATCTTCAACTTTTCAACATCATGCAATGCTTTACAGTCTAAGCCTTCTACCACTTTTGCCACTGAGAGAGAGGCTCTGTTGAGAATCCCGAAGATAATATTATATTACTGAGTAATGCAAGCTGACTTATGAGATCTGTTGAAATGGGCAGGCATTTCTTCATTTTCCGCTGGTGTCAACAGCTGCCCAAAACCTCCTTTCCCCACGTTTCATTGTTCACCTGTGTCAGAAATTTCTTTTTAAGTAAGCATTCTGAACCCAACTGGAATAAGGATGAATGGAAGCATTTCTTCTCAACAGATCACAAATTCAGGACTGCCTACAGGGCAGGGCTGCTTGTACTTTGTCAGTGAAACCTACACTCACATATGTGCATTAAGAGCAGGCACATGTGTTGTTGCATGTTCTGCCATCACAATCACAGGAGGATTGTGACCTATGGGGCATCTAATGCTCAGGTACCCATGGCAACAAACCTACAGGGAGAGCAAATGGCACATTTTCAAGCATTTTCATCCTGCTTTACCCTACCCCTGTGCTACAGTGGCGTATTCCAGGAAAGGATAGTGGATGTCCTGTGAAAAAGTCCTGCTAATGTAATTGGATGAGTGAAACAGACAGAAGCCACACTGGACCAATGTGTCACGTTAAACTCCAAGCATCGTTGTATCTGGTATTGCGGCAAAGAAACAAAACCACATGCAATTTTATTGAATGAACTGATGCAGCACAGGAGAAATCAAAACAAAATGCAGTTGCAGGATAAAACATTTTAATGCCAGATTCGACCATGTTATGCAAAGCCTGCCATTAAGAAACAAGGCAAAGTGGCTTCTTGGGCATTTATTCTGTCTTCAGCAGCTTCCTAGATGCATGAGATTTAGAGCTGCACCTCGTTCCTTAGCTTTCCTAGAAAGAAAAAATGTAAGACAGATTGAATTTATTATCTATACTCATGAACCAAAGTTAGAGTGCATTCCTATGGGAATGCCTGCAAGTTTCCTAACTCAGTAAGGGTCTTCTCCTGCAAAGTTAATAATCAATTTCAGCTAATTGTGCCGCTTTGAAGTAGGAAGGAAGAAGGCAGAGGCACTTCCCTTTTCCCTCCCCACCCGTTCCTTCCATGAGTTGCTTTTTCAACTGGTGTAGTTCTTTGTGCACTTGCTGTGAGGGGTGGGAAGGACCCTCTGAACATGGGACCCCAGCTCAGAGCTGTTTCCCAGTGTCAGAGCTGGGACTCTGGAAAATCCTGTGGCCCCCAGGACACTGTCTAGGGGCCATAGGATCACACTGTTAGTTATCTCTAAAAATGAGTAACATTTGCCTAGTTTTCTTCTTGCAGTGCCCATTTGAATTGCTTGTCTCCATGTCACCACTGAATGGTCTAAATAATCTAAACTACTTTGACTACAGAATATCTGTGGAAAGTTCTGGCTACTGAACACTTCCTCCTTTGGCTTTAAAGTAAAACAGGAGAGGGGGAGAGAGAGGGAAAATTGACTGTATTTTGTATATAAAGTAGAGGTGGCTAGGTCTACCTTAGCCCCTGACACATCAGTTAACAACAACCCTTGTTTTAGTATGACTTTGTAAATGAGGAAATAACTTCATAGTTAAAGGAGGACCTTTGCCTCTGCACTCTCTATCTGCATAAAATGCCCATAATCCTCTTAATTTGAAGGCTTGTGGGTATCTCCATAGTTTGGGCTATTGTCAGCCCATGTGCTTTTATTTTCCCACTGATTAAACTGAGTTAATCTATTTGGATGCCTGAGTACTGTAAACACATTCTAAATAGTTCTTGATCTACACCAGTTTTTTATCCTTGTTTCTTATCCTATTAAAAAATTGCAATGCACTAATAAGTAGATGAGAGCACAATTTGATCGCATCTTTCAATTCTATCTTGTTACCAACACATCAAAAAAGTTAATTATCTCTTTACATACAAGGCAGAGATGCAGAAATTGCACTGGCTACCATAGGTCTCGCCGTCAGAACCACAGTGAGGTTGATAAATCATAGGACATATTTCTGTTTGTGCAGAGTAGTTCTTGCAGTATTCCTGTAGTAATTAGGGAACAGCAAATTACAGATGGACCCCTGGTTAAATACAACTTACATTCCAGTTCATGAACTTAGCTGTATACTGGTGGCTGTCTGAATCATAGAATAATAGAGTTGGAAGGGGCCATGAAGGTCATCGAGTCCAACCCCCGGCTGTTGCAGGACATCATATTACACCATCCCACTCAGATGGCTGCCCAGTTTCTTTTTGAATGTCTCTAGTGTAGCTGTTTCTCTGAGTGTAGCTGTTTGCCACACTGACCCAGCCACTTTTGGCAAGGGAACCATATCACTGTGGCCTCTCTCCTTGAGAATACCCTAATCCTGGAAGATGCATTCCCATAGATGGACTGATCCTGCAATTAGTCTCAGCACCCCAAATCACCCACTTCTCCTTCCCTCAGGCCTCTTCTTGTTGGCCCAGTTTTTGTTCCGAATGATGTCTTCAGCTGCCAATTGCGAGAGTTTGGGTTGCGCTGGGGCACACACTTTCCAATTCTGCTTGTTGCAAAATGTCTCCTTGCTTTTAGTCATACCGCTGACTCGGAAGAACTCCAGTTTTAGCCCCTGTCTGAAGTAAAATGATGTCAGAAACCCTTACAGTCTGGATTCTTCATTTACCTCTGGACTGCTGATCACAGGTCATGTGAATTGTGCAAAAAGCTCCAAAATGCAGCAAAAGCAATACAGATTTACTCACCTCAATCTTGAAACTACCGAAGACCCCTGAAAGAGGAACAAAAGAGACATAGACGCCATAACTTTCAGCTTCTTTAAATCCAGTGTTAAAGTTGGTGGGAGAGAAAAAGCTGCGCAGCTGTATCTTCCATAGGGCCATGCTATTCAAATGCATTTTCTGAACCAAGAAATACATCAAACTGTTTCTTATGGCTTGTTTGGGTTCTTCTCAGTGCACAACACTTGTACAGTCCCATGTGCACTCAACCAGAGCAGTGATATTTCTGCTCAGACCCTTTATATGGTGTTAGGTGAATGGGCAGGAGTTGAGAATACAGACTCACATCACCTTTTCAGTATAATTTTAATTGTACACCTGAAAATTAGTTGCTTCCTGGCCCTATCTGGACAGAGCTCCAGTTACAAAGAGAAGGAATTTTCAGTGGTGGAATAAGCCTTTTTCACACCTGCATGATAAGTGGCACTTGTCAAATTGTTATTTCTGTACACAGCAATTAAAAGAACAGATCATTTCCCTTCACATCTAGTCAGTCATATTTTATTTATTGATTTATTTATTAGATTTAGATCCTGCCTTTTTCTTTTCCTTTTTGTTTTTTTTTAAGAATGCAAGGCGGCTTACATCCTCCTCCTCCTCCTCCTGCTCTCCACCTTATCCCCACAACAACAACCTTGTGAGGGAGGTTGGATCTGTGACAGGCCTAAAGTCACCCAGTGGGCTCCATGGCCAAGTGCGGACTAGATCCCAGCTCTCCTGAATCCCAATCCCACACTCTTAACCATTACACCCCACTGACTCTTAAGCACGCTGACACTCTCTTTCTCATACAAGCCATTTTCTAACCCTTTCCAAAAAAGTGCAATAAAGTATCTTTATCTACTAATGCCTGAATAACCTTTGCAAGAGAGGCTCACCCGAGAAACACCAAAGTGCCAGAGCAAAGACCACAAGTGCCCCCATGCTCCTCAGACCCAGTGGGGATGGAAAGCCGCAGAGAGACCGCTGCTGTTAAGCTTGGAGGAGGAGGTCACGTAGCGTTCCTTCAGCAACAGCCTTACATATATATGCTTACATATATATATGTGTGGGAGTTTCCATTAAGATTTCCTCATTTCGCCTACGTGTGCACCTGAAGACAGTTACACAATGAAATGTTGTCATCTTTTGGAATGTCTTGCACCCTGAAGGTTTTCTTTGGCCAGTGCAGGTGGGGTGAAGAAGTAGGCTGGATAACATGGTGGTGATTGCTTCCACCTTAGTACATTTTCTTAACTAGCTGCTGATTTGGCTCGGTTTCTTCCAAAGAGACAAAACAGGTTTCTTTCTTCATGATGTATGTGTATGTGTGGAAAAACAATTGGAGAGAGACATTTACTTGAAGCTCCTCACAGCAGGAAACACTTCTTCAGGTCTTCAATATACTCAAAGGGGTCAGAACCTTTCCTTGCAATTATAAAAAGAATGATGAATGGGCAGGAACTGATATCCAAACTAGCATAAACTTTCTATTATAATGAAAACTGTGTACCTGGAATTACTAATATTACTTTTTCACTCCTGTCTTAAGTTTTCTCTTACATAAAAGGTTCAAGTTATCAGGTCAGTCACACAAGCCATACTGAAGACCTTTCTGGAAGAATCCAGAGGGTTCTGTCTGCATGCTAATTTGTGATGTCGGAAAGCCTTTTTCAAAAGACAACTCACCTGAGACACACCAAAGGGCCAGGACAAAGACCACGAGAGCCCCCATGGTCCTCACAGTCAAATGGGTGATTGAACTCTGCACAGAGTCCGCTAGTTCTCAGCAGAGAGAATGGCGCCTTCACCAGCAGGATTCTAAGTCCATGTACATATGTCCAGGTGCACGAGTTTACATAAGATTTCATCATTATGAAAGACGTGGCACTTCAAAGGCAGTTACATAACAAAGGAGAACCTGGAGGACATTTGAGAATGCGCTCTCCTGAGTTTGCATTAATAGAAAAACAGACAAAGAGGGGCATTTGACCTCAATCTACCCAGGGCCATTTACCTGGTAAAAGGAAACCTTTGCAGGAAAATAACCCACTATAAGAATGGGTATGCTTACTGCAGCAGGCTCTTCTTTCATTATTATTATTACATATTATTACATAATTATTTCATATTATTATTGCATGTATATGCCACCTTTTTTGTTCTCTTGTGAGGAATCCAGGACGGTTTTTGCTGTGTGCCAAAATATCTTATCTGCAACATCCCTGCTTAGCTGTTCCAAATTCAGTTCTTCGGACCAAGATACCTAAAGGAATGTCTTTTTCCCTACATGCCCTCCCGCCCCTTAAGATCTGCAGCTGAGCCCCTGCTCCGGAAACCCTCCTTGAAGGAGTTTAGGAGACAGAATTCCTGGAGGAGGGTCTTCTCTATGGTGGCACCCCAGCTGTGGAATGCGCTCCCTAGAGAGGTCTGCCTGGCACCGACATTATATGCTTTCCAGCACCCGGTCAAGGCCTTTTTGTTCACCCAGTATTTTAATGTTTAAAAGATTTTAATTATGTTTTACTTCAGTCATGGGTTATTAGTCTAATTATTGTTTGAGGTATTATATGATATTTTATACTGTTGTATTTATTGAATACTATTTGTAAGCCATCCAGATACACATAGTGATTGGATGGGTTAGAAATATACCAAATAAATAAATAAATTATGTGTCTTCCTTTATGGAGTCAATCCATCTCTGATTTGGTCTTCCCCTTCTTTGTCTGCCTTTGACTTTCCCTAGCATGATGGTCTTCTCCAGTGAGTCTTGGAGACACGTGAAGGCATTTCACGCAGCTTCCTTTTATTCATGCAACAAGAACCCTGTGAGCTAGGTTGGTTTGAGAGTCTGTGACTGGCTCAGAGTCCCCCAGAAAGCTCCATGGTTCAGTGGGGATTACAGCCTGGATCTCCTGGGCCCCCAATCCCACATACTTGCTGCCACATCACACTGGCTGTGTTATAAACAAAACACTGATGCATGCAATGGATCCCATGCATATTGTTGGTCATCAAGACCTAGAATAATGCCCTGAGGCAGCTCTACCCTGCCAGTGGAGCCAGGGCTGACAGGGCCAAAGCAAGGGGATCAGCTGGGCTGAAGCTGTCACTGCCACCCTGCAGGCTTTCTTGTTCCTTCCAAGCTCAGAAGCTTTCTTCACAGTAGCTGCGGTGCTGGTGGATGGATCTTCGAAGCAGCAGCGTAATCTCCTGAACTATCACTGTCAGCATGTAAATTATTTTGGGATAGGCCAGGGTAAAACAGGCAATCAAAATTAAATCACTCTTGATCTGCTCTTTCTGCAAATAAAAACTGCTAGAATGGGCATGTTGACTTCTTTTAGATTAGACTGCTGTAACGTGCTCTGCGTGGGGCTACCCTTGAAGACGGTCCGGATATTTCAATTGGTGCAAAACAGAGCTGCCAGGTTGCTGACAGGGACTGGGAGTTGTTCTCATAAAACCCCAGTTCTCCATCAGCTCCATTGGCTCCCCATTGAAGTCCAGGCCCAATTCAAGGTGTTGGTGATCACCTATAAAGCCCTTAACAGCTTGGGACCTGGTTATCTAAAGGAGCGCTTGTGTCCATATATGTCCTCCCGCCCCTTGAGATCGGCAGCAGAGGCCCTTTTCTGGGAACCCTCCATGAAAGATATTAGGAGAGTGAGTACCCAGAGGAGGGCCTTCTCTGCGGTGGCGCCCCACCTATGGAATACGTTTCCCAGAGAGGTCCGCCTGGCACCATCGTTATTTGTTTTTCGGCGCCAGGCCAAGACCTTTTTATTTACAAGTTATTTTAATTGTTAATTTATGAATTGTATTTATGGGATTTTTAGGTATATGCTGAGATGCTTCTGGTTTTTTAACTCTAATTGTATAAATTGCTTATTTATGTTTATTTATTATTGTTGTAAGCCGCCCCGAGGATTTTTGCGAATGGGGCGGCATAAAAATGGTTTAAGTAAATAAAATAAAATAAAAATGGGTCAGCTGCCTGCACTGTCCGGCTTCTCCTTGGGGGTGTGATTATGGAGACCATCTGAATGAGTGCCAGAGCATCAGCATTTACCCCTGCCCATGGACAAAGGTGACCAAAGGCCAATTGTCCCAGTGGCCAAGGCTGTTGGAAGCTGAGGGCCAATTTTCTTTCTACAAGTAGCTCCAGCTTTCCAATCAATTCCTTGAGCATTGTGGATGTGAAAAGATTAATGTATATTCAAATATTTTCTTTAACCTCTGTGGGCTTATTGAGATGGGCTGGGGTGTTTTTTCTTTTGTAAGAAATCCTTGTTCATTTGTTACAAGAAATTCAGGCATGAGCAGTGGCAGAGCACAGGCTTTAAATGCTGGACGCCCCTGTTCCAGGCCCATGTGATCTCTACGTAAGGTTCCAAAAAGATTCCCGCATCTTCTTGCCAGGCAGTGCAGACCAAAGTGACTAATGGCCGAATTTCATGGTGGACCCATGGCTGAAGGTCACAGAAGGCAGCTGCCGAGTCTCACTTTAGAAAGTGCAACCCTCAAATAGAAATCTATTTCCGAAGCACACCAAACGCAAGTAACTGTTGCTGAGGAAGTGAGATGCCTTCTTTCCACTGTCTCATCTTGTGCTGTGGGGAATGGGGATGGTGCGGTCAGCATTTTTACTGGCATTATAATGCTGCCTCACTAGCGTGTCACCTGATGCTCACCCCAAGCCATCTTCCTGGTCTTATTTCTATCATTGCATTCTGGAGTTATTCAGAGAAGGCTTGTCACCTTTGCATGTTGTGTTCCCCCCTCCCCCATTCTAGTGCGTGCTAAATTTGTGGCACTGTTCTGGGGGTAGGAAGTGTGTCCTCAGTGGGCTGAGTGGGGGAATGGGGCTGGCATGAGAGCAGCCCCATTCCCCCACTGAGTGTTGGACAAGGGGCCTGGGGGATCCAGGTTCTAGTCTCCACTCAGTGGCGCTCATTGGTTGACTTTGCACCAGTCACAGACTTTCAGCCCGACCTAGTCTGCATCTTTCTTAAACTGTGATGCCCACAACTGAACACAGTCCTTCAGATGAGGCCTAAAGGGAGGATATGTTTGGATGGGCATGTGCACCCATCTGTACAGATGGATGGACAAATGGGGTGCTTGTGGGTGCGAGAGGGATGGAGGGAGAGAGGATTGACATCCGTAGTGAGAGAAAGGGGAAAGAAGTTGGAGGACACATTGGTTGGTAGGGGGAAGAATTGCTCTTCTCTGAAAGGTTACTCGTCCGATGTGACAAGTAACCTGCCACACCAACCATGGCAGCCATTTTGCTATGGCACCCAGGTTTGGTTTGGTTTCAGATCGCCAGAGGTGTCCATAGGCCTCAAGAGATAGCTGATACCTGAGCTGGGGTGACATAGTCCAGGAAAGGGTAGAGGATGTGCTCAGAAGATTATGAGCTAGTGTGTGCTGACAGAGAGCTGTCACGCTGGCGCAATGCCATGTTTTTCTCCATGAGGTTGAAACAATCCTAAACTTAGCTTCAAACATACCTGTATCTGGTATCACAGCCAAAAAAAAAAAAAAAAAAACCGCAAAAGAATTAGCAAATTTATTGTGTGCATTGGAACAACACACAAGAAATCAAAACAAAATACAGTTAGACTTAATAAAAATACCAAAGTAGAACTTTTTATGCAACACCAGCTATCAGAAAATAAGCCAAGGGGTTTTCTCTGAAAGTCAGCATATACTCAGCACTCCCTCAAATGCTCAAGGAGAAGAACACTGCCATTTCTAGAAAGGAAAAAAATGTAACAGGATTTGAAATTAGTATTGTGGGTAACTAGACTTGTGCAACAAAGTTAGTTATCTTTTAAAAATATGCACCTTTCCTGTAGGGAAACATGCCTACTTTGGGTCCCTTCTTCTTGAAGCATCCCCCAGAAATGCTTCCCCGTAGCACTTTGATCCCTGCCTTGGGTCACTCTGGCTACAGGAAATCAGTGGGGAGACCTGGTGGCTGAGCTCTGTCTCCTATGAGGAGGCTGGAGAGCGAATGGAAATTGTCTGGGCACTATCTCTGTAAGGCAGGGGTGTTCAGGCAGGTGGTCCACCAGCTGCATAGCCACAGCCCATGTACTTTGTTAAGGGAAAGGCTTAGGAATAAAGTCTGGATGGCAGCGTGATTGTGGGTTCTTATCTTTTTTCCACTCGTGAAACTGAATCAGTTCACTTGGATGTCTGACTGTATACCATTTCAGGACAGTCCTTGGCCTACTTACTGGTTTTTCATGCCACTAAAAACATTCCAATATGTAGATGAGGAAATGACCAGCGTTTCTGATCTCATTTATCCATTCTATCAATCAGAAAGAGTTAATTCTCGGTATACATACGGGTCAGCAGTGCAGAATTCACACTTGTTCTTATAGGTCTTGCCATCAGAACCACAGTGAAGATCATTGTCTTGTGTGCAATCGTGTGTTTCTGGGGAGAATTGTCTGCAGTAAAACTCTTGAGTAGGAATCTGCAAAACAAAGATATAGGGAATGCTACAATGGTCCAGTTAAATCCAGAGCACGACATAAAAAGCAGTGGGAGCTGTTTGTGTGTAAATTCAGGACCTGCAGAGCAATCCTGCTCCCGCAGTGGCCTGACAGAGAAGGCAACCTGGTCCACCTCGCAGGCACTGGTAGGATTGCATTGGGTCTGCAGGTACTCGGCCTACATGATCGCACTGGTCCTCCAGCTGGGAGTCACAGGACGTGCTATAAAAGGCCTCGCAGGTCTGCCCAGCTTCAAACATGAGTCTGTGTGGTGGCTGTTTCGTGCATCTGATCCAGGTGGCTGCCCCCTCTTCACTCCTGCTTTTTTTTGATGCTGCCTTCTCCTCTGAACCTGCCATGCCTTGTCATAATGTGATCCTTGCTTGCTCCTTACTCTGTCTTTGCAGGTATCTGACCAGCTCCTGACCCCGCCTTTACCTCCGGCCTTGCTGTGCCTTGTCAAGTTCTCCACGCACCTCAATCTCTTCTGGTCCTTTTGTTCCAGTGGAGGATGCCTGCTCTTTATGTCCCAAAGTTGGCATTAGCCATGCAAATCCAATTATCTTTAGTATGGCAACGTCAGTCCCCTTTTTGGTGAATATCTCCCAGGTGGCTACCTCATTGCAGTTCAAATCCATTAAATCCAAATCTTTTCTCTGGGGAAATGCTAATAAACATGGACTGCATTGCTATACTATGGCCTCTATGGATATGCCAATCCTGCAATTAGTGTCAGCACCCACCAAAAGTAATGAAACAACATCTTAACCTTGGCTCAGTTTCAGTTCTTTTCATTTAAGTCAACATTTTGTATCACTGCATCTAGTTCTTCATACAAAGGCCAAACTAAAACAAATATTTTTGTCCCAAACATAGGAGCACCACCCACGAGTTGGAGGTGATCCCAGGAAACAGTCATGTGGCACCATGTGATACGGTACAGTGATATTTAGGGAAGCCGAAAAACTTACAGATCAGATTCAGTACTTGTATTTTAAATATGCATGAATGAGTTCAAGAAGATCTGAATAATAAAGAACTACTCACCATCTTTCCGACAGTGGCAAATTGGAGATGGCAATACATTGGGGAAAAATAGAAAATCACAATTACACAATGGTGGGACAGAGTCTGGAACATAATTATTATGGAAAGGGCTGCAAAAGTAATTAGGCAGAAAGTAAGCAATGAAACCAGGCTGATTTTTATACAATGTGGTATAATTTCATAAATTCTATGAAATTCTATTCTCATATTCTGTAATATGTATGATAAATTCTGTTCTCATATTCTATAAGGAAGGTTTGAGCTTCCTCCTACTGTGCTTGGCTCGTGGAAATATTTAATAGGCTGGGTTAGGCTCAGGAGGAGCCATGCTGGTCTTGACAACGCAGCTGTACACGCTTCTAAGCCATTGTTCAGTCTCATACCTTTCACATCTTTTCTATAGGGAGTGTAGTTGTTGTTCAGCTGTTGCTAAACTGTTTAAATGTTCAGTGCTTACTGTTTGAAAATCTGTTGTTTTAAAAGAGCACAAAGTCATCTCAATCTGACCTAGAGGAAGAACTTTGAGTGCCATGCCCCTATTGCAGCAAACACACTTGGAATATGAAATATGGGCAGTTGCACTGAATCACGCACTTCTTTTCACTCTGTATCAGGACTGGCAGCTTCCACAAATCCCACGGAGGTCTTCCCCCTCCATGCAGCTGAATGTGCTCCTGAAATTTGGTGGTGTGGTACAGTAGTGTCAACCCCCTCACTTCCATGATTTTGTTGTAAAGCGAGCAGCATGTTCCGTTTTAAAAGGAAAAGTGTTCCTGAAAGGCATCCGGGAACATGATATTGCTAGAAAATGGGGTGCAAACAGGGTGTGTCTTGCTTTACAGCCAATTTGCCACCACTGCTTTCACAAATTTCATGGCAGTGAGTCAATGGCAGGGTGCAATAAAGGCCAGGGGTGCCCATGGCTCACCAACTGTGTGTTGCTGCCCCATTATGTGTGTGGAATATATCTTTTCAGACATGGGTTTGACTGTTGGTTGGGTGACCACAAATGCAGTTTGCAGCTATTCTGCTAATCCTGGCTTCACTTTTCCCCTCTTTCATGATCAGCAAAATTGCAGGTGGCTGAGTGATTGACTGTTATTTGTACAATGCATACACTGGGACAGTGAGACTCTCCATGGAGAAGAGAAACAAATTGAATGTGATTCCACCCTTAGGTATTTCTTGTGTATATTGCAAGTGAAGTACACCGTGCCAGCTACAGTTGTGGCGTCTGAGCAGCCCCGTTCCAGAAAGGAGTTGGAAGAAACACACGAGGAGAGGGAATGCTTCTGCATACTGTGAATCAGGCAACTGCCTCTCTCCTCCACCACATTCACTGCCCTGGATGTGGGAAGTGTGACTGTTTGCAGAAGAGAGCTTCCTGCATCCCTGAAGTCATTCCACAAGATTAAGAACTCTGAGTTCCCAGTGCTCTTTCCATGTGGAAAGGCTCTGAAGTCAGAAGAGTAGGAGGCAACTTACATGATGCAAGAGAATGGTGGATCTCGAGCATTTCCTCTCCGCGTGCCTCATTTCTGACTCCTTTCCTGAATGGGTCTAGAGGGTGTCATGGTATCTGACATCTCCCCACAATTGCTTGATGACTTGAAGAGAGACTATGTATTCTACACATGCACTTATAAGTAATAGTCTAAAGATTTTCTATCCCTCTAATGGCCTACACAGATTGTGGCAGCAAGCTGCACAAGAACAAGTGCTTTTAAAATTAATTATAAATTAAATTGTAATTGTAATTGTACTTTTGCAATTAAAACCTAGGTGGAAGGAGCAAAACTAGAGCGTCACAACATCAAGAACTTCATGAGTAGGTTATGATGATTGTACAATAAGTGACTTGCATAGAAAAGACCAGACTCATTTCGTAAGTTGTTTATGGGGAACCAAATAATCAAGAGCAAATAAGGTTCTCCATATCATTCCCTAAAGCTAATAACCATTTCCCACTAAAATTCACATGACAATTTTGCCCATAGAGTTCTGAATGTTTAACTTCAAAATACAATTTCATCAGTTTGCTTACCTCCTCACATTCTCCATTGTGTTTCTTACCAATATTTCTGTTGCGCTCCCTGGAAATGAGACAATGTTATGCGGTTACTTAATAAGTTAGTAGAACAAATAATGCTGCATTCTTCTGAAACTTGCAAAGCAACCAGTGAAAGCCCAGTTGGGATTGATCCAGTAGTGAAACTCCAGTAGTTGTTCAGTTAATACTTCCATGCTATTCCAGATCTTGTACTTTCCTGCCACAGGATTATCTGGGCTCCTAAATTTTCAATTATCGACTCCATTAAATTAAAAATATTTATTTTGTAGGTAGATAGAGATATATTTCAAGAATGCACAGTTCATACATCTGCATCTAATGGAGATCTTTGAGAATTTAGCAATAGATTGGTAAGCATTTCTGAATCCAAGTTATTTAGCCATGGCAGGAACAAACTGACTCCTTTCCTGATGCTCTAAACTATATTGCTGGAATGAAGACAGCTTAGAGTAACCAGAAGTGCATTTTGCATGGAAGCACAGTGAGCTCCAGTTTGGGCATTCAGTACCGATCCCTGCACGCAGAATTTTGAATTCTAGGTGTTTGTGTTTTGCAAAGGTGTCCAGCAGTTGGTGGGTCTTGGCATTATAGTTTTAAAAAAGGAGATTCAGCAACCGAGACATTTGCTCACCCTTGATGGGCTGAACTTTGTTGTCCAGGCAGGTTGAGGATCACATCACTACTCAGCATTCAACTCACTCTGTTATGTTGGGCTATCCAGAACTGGAACTGTTGGGTTCCAGTTCTCAAGCTCTCCAGGACCATAGTTATGAGGACAAAATTATTTATTTTATTATTTTATTTTATATTTTATTTTTTAAATATGTTTATATGTCATCCAATACCACAGTCTCTGGACAGCTTACAGAAAACAACATACCAAAAAACAACACCCTGCATCTGACCATTAGTGATAAATCAAAAATAAATCAATTAAATATTAAAATGTCAGGAAAATAAGTCATTGTGGGAAAATGTGGAATGGAGAAGCGGCAATTAATATGATCATAATTGGATTCTGTTACAAAGGATTACAGTCATTATTTTGCTCAGAAGAAAAAATCCTCTGTATTACTTACATATTTTTCTTACATATCTCACATTCATTGCTGTACGTAACGTCATCTGATCCGCAGATTGGTGCAATTGTATTTGGACATGCTATGATTCCTGTGACTTTTTCAGCAGGGTAAAGAGTGCAATTTATCTATAAAAGAAATGCACTGCATTTCAGAACAAACCTCTCTACTTTCCTTTATAAAATCTCCCACAACCATGTTTCCAGTTTTTAAAGCAAAGCAACCCCACACAAGGCACCAGTGAAACATATCTGTTCACTCCCTGCCCCAAGCATCTGCAGTGTAGAACTGAGGGAGGCAGAAGATAGTGGGGAATAGAACTCTCAATGAAATTTAATCATTTCCTCAAGGCTCAGCAATTGGGCCCCTTGCAAAACATTTCCTAAGTTTAGAAGGTGGACTCCCAGTCTCCAAACCAGATACCCTCCCCCTCACCACACCCCTGCTCAGCAGTTTAGGAAAACAAGAAACTTAATTATGTCGTACTTGCATCTTCACCATCCCTGAAACATGTCATGTGATGCTAATAAAAGCTTGATCTGTTGCCTTTGGAGTGAAGCTTGCTGTGCTCCAGAAAGCAGCAGAACTAGACCAGAATGACCTTCAGGCTTTGCCCAAAACCCATAGGCTTTGCTACTTACTACAAGTGACATTAACAGTGTGATCAGAAATTGCATCGTGAGTTTCAGTAGCAGGATACCAGGCCAAAATGCACCGTTTAAAAGAAACCAATTAATATATAAGAATTTGCACATAAAGTGTCTCAACATCTTTGTCTAAAACTAAAAGGCAATTCCTAATAATAGGCCCTGCATAATTTTTCAAACAGAGCTCTGAATGCTTAACTGTTTGCTTACCTCCCCAATGCACACTCCATCGTGTTTTTTATGAACATTTTTCTTGAGCTGCCTGTGGGATAGAAATGTAAAGAAATAAGTGGATATTTCCTCTCCTTTAGTAGGAAAGCAAATGTTGCTTTCTTCCTTTGAACCATGCGGGACACAGGTGATGATAGATCGGCTACCAGACTCCGGTGCTTCTTTGATCAGTTCATCCTTCTCAGTCCAGATCATGTGGTCTCCTGCCACATGGTTATTAGTGCCCTAACCTTCTGCTAATTGGATCCATGAAATCAAAAGAGAATCCACAGGTATGGAATATTTATGTAGTTCAGAGAGGGCAGCAGATAGACCTACATGTGATGGTGGGTCTCTGGCGGTATGTGTATTTGCAGTACCTCAGCAGGATTTCTGAGTTCCAACTACAGGGAGCCCCCAGGTTACTAATATCTGAGTTACAAACAGCCATTCTGATGAACGAAGAATTTAAAAATCTGAGTCAAAGACAAACGGTTTGTAGTTACAAATGCAGGAACTAGTTTGCTATACCCGTGAAAATGTTCCACAGTGTTGGTTGTTCATTGGCTCAAGAGTATCCATGTTAGGCTTAATTTTGCCTCAAGAATTCCCCTTCCGATATGCAGGACATCAGTGGAACCAGAGTGTTAACCTTTAATAATCTTTTTACTATTTTTTAAATCGGAACTGTTTTAAGAACTATTTCTATTCTTTTCTCTTTTTTACAATACTGTAAAAATACCTACATATCGTATTTTTTGCTCTGTAAGACGCACTTTTCCCCCTCTCAAAAGTAAGGGGAAATGTCTGTGCATCTTATAGAGTGAATGTGTGTGTGCCCGACGCCCGGGACGCTGCCGGCCCGCCTGCACCACGTGGCACCACCTGGCCGGCACACGCTCAGCACGCGCTGCTCCACCCCACCCCCTCTGGCGCAGGTGAGAGCTGTGCCGCTCAGGGGGAGCGGTGTGGAGGAGGAGGAGCCGTAGGCTTTAACCTGCTGGCTGCATGGAGAGACGAACTGCTCACCCCCACCGCCCGGGAAGACCTGCCGCCGCTGTGCCACCCAGAAGACCACCGCCGGCACGCTGCCAGCCCGGCTGCACCACACCTGGCCGGCACCTGCTGTGCGTGCCCTGCTCCGCCTCCCTCCTCCGGCGCAGGTGAGAGCTATTAATCCCAGGTCGGTGTGTGTTTTCAAATGGCAACCCGTCTTTTAATGAAGCCCATGGGGAAGTGATGGGGAATGTGCCTGTGATTATCAGGAAGCTTTCCATGGATCAGTGGATATTTGAACAGCATTACCTTCATGTATGAAGTTTATTCTTCAAAGGCTACTTAGTCCTCTGTGTGTTTGATTTACCGTACAATATCTCATTTTTTGTCAGAAGTTTTTTTCTATTATTTACTAGTAGGGCAGCGTGGACATTACTGGCTTTTTTAGATTTGTTATTGAATTGTCTGCAGCAGCTCTTGTATAACTGGTGTAGATTGTGGATTCCTTCAGTAATTCCACTACTGACTAAGAAAGTGATGTCAATGATTGTGAGCAACAGAGCTTCATAAATTCTGACTCTAGTGATGATGAGTTCTATGGGTTCAACGAAAACTAGAAGAGTACTCGAACTTTAAAGTCTCTCTTTTGTTAATGGCAGTGATGATGGTTCTTAATGCCACTGTTGACTGCTGTTCACTTTACAAAGTTGAAATACGATATTACTGTATTCTGTTATAGTTTATTAAATAGTTTAGTAAACCATTTGATTCAGAATATTTTTTCTTGTTTTCCTCCTCTAAAAACTAGGTGCATCTTATGGTCAGGTGCGTCTTATAGAGCAAAAAATACGGTACTTACATGCATATATACAGATCCTCTCTCTCTCTCTCTCTTCAGAACCTCTAGTTACTCTATTATTCCTGCATTATCATCATTATTACTATAGTACAGTATTGTGTATAAGATGTTTTAGCGTGCATGAAAGTTTTAAAAATGTTTCATATGCATGAAAAGGTAAAATAGATACATATGCTAAGACAAACAGTTGGCTTATGCTTGCTAAATATGACCCATGCCTACGTGATCCAACTTGTACCAGTTTGACTTAAAGGTGTTCTTAGGAAGAGAACTCATTCCTAACCTGGGACTGCCTGTGTCTAGCGACAGCAGCAGCGAATTGTCACCTTCCCTCTCACCCTGGATGATATTGCTGGAATGAAGGAAACACGGAGTACCCAGAAGCCAATTATTGTGTGGGAGGGCCACTGCGATGAACATTGTGGGAGAAGAACAGTAGCAATTAAAATAAATGCAATGAGTTCCTCTTGCAAACAATTTAGAGCCATTCGCCTGCACAGAAAATATGCCCTGCTCTGCTCGGCATTACTCACTCGTTGATCTTGCACATCGTGCACTCGCTGCCATAGGTGGTGCCATCTGTTCCACAGACCGGGCTTGGGATCCTTGGGCAAGGTCCTGTGTATTTGCCGCACGCCTTCTGTACAAGAAGCGCACTGCGTTTAATAGCAAATCCCTTTATAAACCCTCTCTGCATGCAGGCTTCCAACTTGTTGTGTGCATCAGTGCATGGGGAAAATGTGGGGAATGGTGCTCTTTGAATCTGTTCGTTTCTGTTCCGTTTGCTTTTTTCTGTGGGTCTGTCTACAAATGACATTAATGATGTGACTGGCAATCAAGCTGTTAAATACGGGCTGTGGGGTTTAAGCCTTCCCTCCCCAGTGGCAAACCTATTGAAAGTGCCTTTCCCCAACACTGTCTTGCAGCAAGCAGTGCAAAAACACTGTATTGCTGCCAATGGGTGCTTCTTCCCCAGTAGCGCTAATTTCCATGCCAGGTGTGTGGGAGTGAGACACAGAACTTGGCACAAGTCAGAACGGGGAAGGAACTGTGGAAAATGGATGGATTATTTTTACATGCTCTACATCTTCACTAACATAAATTAGCAGAACTACAGATGGATGCTTTTCCAGTGAGGGCACAACCCTATGGCTGATAGATGCTGACTGGCTGCCCATGGGAAAGCCAGAGTTCCCATGGCTACCTTGGAAAAAGCTCTCCAAGGTGGCAGTGGAGACTCCATCTTCAGAGAGATTTCCCTGAACCCTTGCAGCCAATGTAGTTCTTTCCCTGCAAGCTGCAGGTCTGAAAATGGAAATTGTCCCTGGAGCAGGTGCTGCAAGGTGGTGCTCTAGGAGGGGCAGACAGGGAGGGAAAGAGCAAGACACTGCCATTGATTGAAGAATTCAGGCACTGCCTCAGTTCCTCCTCCTTGGGAACAGGTGCAAACGGCACTGGGCAGCTGAGAGCAATGGCCCCTGAGAGCCAGAATCCTTTCTTTCAATAGCGCTTCCTTCCTATGGAAACACAAGCCAGTCTCTTTCTTGTTTTTCAACTTGCCACCACAGAAATCAAGCACAATCCACCAATAAAATCTTCTGTGACTATCTCACAGAAATGAACGAGTATGGTTCTGCTCTTCCAAAGTTCCCATTCTTTGTCATCGCTTGAGGAAAGGTGCCCACATTTTAGTTGAGATGGTATGGAGAAAACCAGCACTGCCATCTAACATTTGGTGAGCACAATTTAGATTCTGCTCTTGCCTTCTGACTGATGATTGCAAGGGATTTAAATTGTTCAACAAGCTGCAAAAACCAGCATGAGTACTACTTTCACTCACCTCATCACTGTCACCAAGGACACCTGTAAAAAGACCAAAAGACACACCAAGTCACCCTGGATTCAGAGACTGAAGCCCAGGAAGACATCAAGACCTGCTCACCTGTATGCTTTTCATAATGAAGAATATTTTATTAGAAAATCACATTAATTAAAGGGTATGAAAACAGTTCACTGTTACTCAGCTGTATCAGGTCTTTACTTCTCTAGTTCCTTCGCACACTTAATAGTTTTGATTATACCATTTGCATGTGAATATGAAGAGAGGAAAGAAAGGTCAGGAGTTGGTATACACAATACCAATACTTCCTTATAATTATAGCTGTTTACTTTTAACTAGGCCCATAATCTTGTTCCTTACTGGCCCTACTTAGGAGTCCAAAGGATGAGGCCTCAATGATTTTTTTAGTTAATGCAATTTCAGTGGTGCTGTTTAGCTTGTATTAATTCCTCCCTAAATTACTCCTTAAATAAGATAGGTAGAAAATTTCCTGCCGCATCTGGCCAGGCCCACAAGACTCCAAACTATGGCAAAGACCTTCCTGGAAGTTACCAGAAGAGCATATTTGTACGTTACAAGAGTCGGAATACCTTATCGCTAGAAAGACTCACCTGAGAAGCAGCAGAGTGCCAGAGAAAGGACGACAGGCAGGCCCATGCTCCTCATGGTTGTAATGGGGATTGTATGCAGGACTGAGTTAGTTCACTGGTTTTGCTGAAAGAAGATGGGCCTGGGGTGCACGCACAGCAAGATATATGTGTGGGTGTTTACACAAGACTGCTTGGTAATGAAAGGGAGTTGCATAATAAAAACTTGCATCCTGGTAAATTATTTCCTTCTAAGAACTCTCTTTACCTATTTAGGTTGAGTGGATACCCAGGGTGGGGTGAAGTGGTAAGAAAGGGACTGCTCAACCGGTTTTCTGTTCACTAATTTTCTGCTCAGTTCTTCCAGAAAGCATAGGAAATATCAGATTCCTTTATTATTTTTGTTTTTATACCTTTAGGAAAGAAATGACTGGGTAGGTATATGTGGACTGAACACTGAAAGGAACCCATTGGGGCAGAGAGAGGCAAGTGTCATTATCCATATATTTTATCCCTCCACTCCATCCACCCTACTCAGCTTAGCCAGTGCTTTGGAAGGAAGGAGCCCACCACGAGACTGGTTGCATTTCCTGAGGGATACATCTCTCTCCCTCAGAGTCATAAACAGAAAAGTGATAAACACTCAGCAGATGCCACCAGGCTCTCCTCATATCCTGGTTCCTGCCAAAGACAAACTAATTTTCAGAGCTGACCAAAGCTTTGGTCTTTTTCAGGCCATGATTCTACCTGCATTCATTGAGTGTAAATGTCATTGAAATCAAGGGGACCTACTTCTAAATAGGTATTTGTATGGGTGTGGCATTAATATTATTTATGGTGGCCAAGGCTTTGGAGATGGAATATTCTTCCTGAAGAGTAGCTGCCTTCAAATCTAGGAGCTCCATAGATGAAAATATGGTTGTGCTTTGTACCTGCTTCTGAGAGGTGAGGAGTTTCAAGTGCTCCAGCTTTTACTCAGTTTCCTGAGAAGAAGGCTTGTGGAGTGTCTTTCTGAAAGGAGTATTTACACCCAGCTCAAGGTAGAGGTCCACAAGTTTCCCAGCCCAACAGACCTCTGGCTCCCCCCTCAGCTGCCTTGGGATTTCTTTCCCAGAGATCCAAAGTCAGCTGGCCTTTTCCTCTTCTGTTTAAACCAGGGGTCCTCAAAGTTTTTGAATAGGGAGCCAGTTGAAAGGCTGCAGTGACCCGTAGCGGGCCAGTGAGGTGGGGTGCCTGGGGGACCGGGCCTGTGAGGTGCTGCTGGGCCCTGCGAGGCGGCATCAGGCACGTGCTGCTGTGGCTCGCTCACTCGGAGATCTCCCAGCAAGTCCAAAGCCATCTCCGAGCCAGCGAGCCACCACCTCCCCGCCCACGCAGCAAGCGTGAACACGGGCAGCCAGCAGCGGCGTGGGCCGGATGGATGGCCATGGCAGGCTGGATCCATCCTGCGGGCTGTAGTTTGAGGACCCATGGTTTGAACTGTCCAGTCTGACTTCTTGCTTTCTTGCCACTGCTCAAGCTTGATAGAACAAAAGCTACCAATTCAAGTGTCAGTCTCTCCCTCCCTCCCTCCCTCTGTGTGTGTGTGTGTGTGTGTGTGTGTGTGTGTGTGTGTGTAATCCTGAATCACTTCGTGATCAGAGGCACTGAGTTACAAGAAATCCCTGAAAGGCAATCTATTCAAGACTGACCCCAAGCACACAACACTGTCTCTTAATCTTCTGAGGATTTACTGTGAGCATCAGGGTTTGTAAGACCCCACTCTGCTGTTGAGAGAAAAGGAGACATGCTTGGCAAGGGACGGAGCACAGGCAAAGTGCAGTAGTCCAGGGTAGGCCAACCTTTCCCTCCCTGGTCCACTCCAAATATGCAGGACTGTGGTTCTCATGATCCCCAGCCAGCATGACCAAACACCCCTACTGACCCAGCTGGTGTGGCCAATGGGCTTCCTGCCACTTGCCTCCACACCTGCCTGGGCAGGGTACCTTGACAGCCAACGAGTCCCTGTGTGACTCCCCTTCAAAGTCCACATTGTGCTTTAAGTGGGGCATGCCATTTATTCATTCTTCAGCAGCATACACATGAATAGTCCTGATTAGGAAACCAGACGTGTCAAGGAAATACCTTTGCGTAGTTTGAAATTACGCAAGTTGCTGGAGGCTAGGAAAAGGAACAGATGTATCTGCATGAGAGAGGGAGGAGAGGAAATCCCCTTTATTCTGATACAAAATATCGCCTGTTGAGATACCTGGGGATTTTTTTCCAGTATGGTTTCCTGTTCAATTCTTTATTTTCAGTGGGCTCACTGCTCTAAACTGGTTAGCCGTTCCATAATAATGGTTAACAATGACTGATGGGGTGGGATCAGCCTCTGCGTATATTTTTGATCAGCTAGTTAAACTACTTGCAGCTCTCTGTTTTAACTGAGCTACAGTTCAGTTATGTTAAGGGCCTGGCTTTTACTAGTTTCAAATTTCCAGAAATATGTGAGGTGTTGCTTCAGTTCCGCCTCTTGGTCGCACACCTTGGCATGGTGAGACGGTCTGAGAGTGACAGAGAAGCCGAGAGTGGTGCTGCCAGGAGGCCGGACTCTCACTGGACCCATCTCCCAGCAGGACCACCCAAGGAAGGATGGCCAGAGGGGAGTCAGCAGACTAAGAGACCGCAGCCCTCTTCAGGAGGCATGTCTCAGCGGAAGGGAATGGATTTCTCAAATGGTGATGGGAAGGGAATATCCCCATACCCCAGTGTATGTCTACATAGATGTGGAAACGCCCAAAGGATGTGAACTCATTTTTTGATTCAAGCATGTTACCACCAGGTTAGGAAAGTTATTTATCTGTATACATACAGAGCAGCAGTGCAGAATTCACACCGGTTGCTGTAGATGACATTATCAGAGCCACAGTGGAGGTCGTCCTCTATGGACACTCTTATTTATTTATTTAGAGTTTTTGTATGCTGTCCCCTTGCTATATAGCCTTGGGATGGCTCACACAAATAAATATAATACAGATACAATTAAAACCCGGAAACACCCTGGCTGCGCAATAAAAATATTACACGTTAAAATAGTGTTTGAATAAAAAGGTCTTGGCCTGGCGCCGAAAAACAAATAATGACCTCTCTGGGGAGCGCATTCCACAGATGGGGTGCCACCGCAGAGAAAGCCCTCCTCCGGGTACTCTGCTTCCTGATGTCTCTCATGGAGGG